ATATTGAAATCACCCATTATGATGATTTTATCAGTATTTAATAGTAAATCAGTTAATAATTCTGAGAATTCAGACAAAAACTGAGAGTAAGCGCCTGGTGGACGATATATAACAACTAGTAAAAGTGGCTTTTCTGATTTCCCTTTTGGATGAGAAAGACTGAGGGACAGCGATTCAAAAGAATCATAACTAATAACTGGTTTGGCATTAATCAATAATCCTGACTGACAAATAGAAGCTACTCCACATGAAAATTTAAATAATTAACAGGAGTGGATTCATTTATACTAACAAAATCCTCCTGTTGTAGCCAAGTTTCTGTCAGACAGAATAAATCAATATGATGATCAGTTATCAGTTCATTAACTAACAGGGATTTAGAGGAAAGAGATCTGATGTTCAATAATCCACATTTAATGATTTTATGATTTTGCTCTGGTAAAGTAACTGTGTTTATTTTAATCAGATTTTTATGGTTTATATTTTTAGAGCTGATTTTTGGTTTATTTAATTTGAGCCGTGGGCGAGTTGACACTGTTTCAATGGGGGTGTGGGTGGGTAACAGAGGAGTAGCAGCAGAGAGGTGTGGAGGACTACAACTCTGCTTCCTGGACTGGACCCTGGGTCGTCAATAATTTGGGGGATAAACAAAATCAGCCATATCTCTAGAAAGAAGAGCGGCTCCGTCCAAAGTGGGATGGATGCCATCTCTCCGCATCAGACCAGGTTTTCCCCAGAAAGAACTCCAGTTATCTATGTAGCCCATGTCGTTGTCAGAACACCACCTGGACACCCAGCGGTTAAACAACGACATACGGCTAAGCATGTCATCGCTGGTCAGGTTGGGGAGGGGACCAGAGAAAACTACGTAGTCCGACATGGTTTTAGCAAAGTCAAGAAGAAATATGACAGTGAGAGGACTGAAGAGAGGAGACAAGAATATGAGGAGATGCAATGTTATTGTTTTATTTGAACTTTATTTTACCAGGTGAAATGTTCTAGAGCCAATTCTCATTTACAAATATGAGCTGGATGTAGGTGAAAGAAATAGGGAGCAAAGTCAAAACAGAAGAAATAAAATGAGTTGTACGAGGGAGAGGACTTGTATTGAATGACGAGACGGGGATCAGGCTGGAAAGGCTGTTGCAACAGGTCAGGTCTGTTTAAGATAGAAATTGTAATGTCAGTTTTCCTTTGATGATGATGATGGCGAAGTACAGAGGGCCAGAAATCAATAAATCATTAATATACTTGATTGATCCCAAAGGGAAATTTCAGAACCTTCTTGTGTCTGTGGATTTAGCTAAAGCATATGACAGGGTGCTGATAGAGGTGCTCTGATGTGAGGAAATCTGGAGTGGCAGAGAAGTATGTTAGACTGGTACAGAACATGTATGAGGACAGCAGGACAGTGGTGAGATGTGCTGACTGACATATAGCTTCAAGGTGCGAGTGCATCAAGGAACAGCTCTGAGCACTTCTTGTTTGCTCTGGTGATAGACTGACTAACAGATGAGGTCAGGCAGGAATCCCCATGGACTATGATATTTGCAGATGACATTGTGATCTGTGGTGAGAACAGGGAACAGGTGGAAGAAAACTTGGAGAGGTGGAGGTATGCACTTGAAAGAAGAGGAATGAAAGTCAGCCCTAGTAAGGCAGAGTAAATTTGTGTGAATTAGAGGGAGGTTGGTGGAACAGTGAGGCTACAAGGAGCAGGACTTCAAGTACTTTGGGTCCACTGTTCAGGAAAATAAGGAGTGTGGTAAAGAAGTGAAGAAGAGAGTCCAGGCTGGATGGAGTGGATGGACTCCTGATTTGACATCAAAAAAGGGTGTCGGCAAAGGTCAAAGGAAAAGTTTACAAGACAGTGGTGAGACCAGCTATGTTGTATGGTCTGGCGACAGAGACATGGACAAAAAGACAGAAGAAAGAACTGGAAGCAGAAATAAAGATGTTGAGGTTCTCCTTAGGAGTGACAAGGATGGATAAGATTAGGAACAAGATCATCAGAGGTACAGCACACGTTGAACAACCAGGAGAGAAAGTTAGGGTGGCCAGACTGAGATGATTTGGACATGTCCAGAAGAGGGACAGTGAGTATACAAGTAGTCTCTCGCTACCTCACGGTTCGTTTTTTTTGCGGACTTGCTCTATTGTGGTTTTTCAAAGAAAGTTTGGACATGACACAATTGGCTGATTGATGGATGAGCTGCATTATTTGCATGAAAAATTTTTTCATTAATTATTTAAAATTATTTAGCACCTACTGCACCTTTGTGCAGCCCACAGCTCCTGAAGCTTCCTCCTGCAGCTGATCAGCTTATCTCCACTCTGCAGCAGAGAAGTCTGAGTGGCTGAGAGTGCTGGCAGGTGGCAGAGAGAGGGAGATCATGATGGCATGATGTGCTTCTTTAGAGCGTTAAACGAGGGACTACCGTATTGGTAGAAGTATGTTAGAAATGCTTCTGCCTGGAAAAAGACAAAGAGGGGATATATGGATGCAGTTAGAGAGGACACGATGATGAAGCCTTCCGGATCGAAGGTGAAACGTTTCAGCACAAAAAAAGAAACTGTCCAGATGACCTGACTGAAAAATGTTGGATATTGATATGTACCGTTTTGTGTGTCTATGTTTGTCCTTTCAGGGGCCCGAAGTCGAAGCACTGCAGCGTCTGTAACAAGTGTGTGGCCAGCTTCGACCATCACTGTCGCTGGCTCAACAACTGTGTGGGAAGCAGAAACTACAAGTGAGTGATGTGTGTGTCTGTGCATGTGTGTGTGTGAGAGAGTGCATGTGTTTAAAAACCTGGTAAAATGGTAAAAAAAAAAAAGTCAAAATTTTTACTGCACGAAAATAAAAACATGACAAAACATCAGTAAGTTCAATAACAGCTGGTTATTTACATGTTTACAATAATAGTATATTGTAAAGTATTGTGTCGTTCCGATTGTAGTACAATGTGTAGTACAGTGTGTTGTACAGTGTGTTGTACAGTGTGTTGTACAGTGCGTTGTACAGTGTGTAGTACAGTGTGTAGTACAGTGTGTAGTACAGGTCCTTCTCAAAAAATTAGCATATTGTGATAAAGGTCATTATTTTCCATAATGTAATGATAAAAATGAAACTTTCATATATTTCAGATTCATTGCACACCAACTGAAATATTTCAGGTCTTTAATTGTTTTAATACTGATGATTATGGCATACAGCTCATGAAAACCCCAAATGCCTGTCTCAAAAAATTAGCATATCATGAAAAGGTTCTCTAAACAAGCTATTAACCTAACCATCTGAATCAACGACGTAACTCTAAACACCTGCAAAAGATTCCTGAGGCTTTTAAAAACTCCCAGCCTTGTTCATTACTCAAAACCACAATCATGGGTAAGACTGCCGACCTGACTGCTGTCCAGAAGGCCATCATTGACACCCTCAAGCAAGAGGGTAAGACACAGAAAGAAATTGCTGAACGAATAGGCTGTTCCCAGAGTGCTGTATCAAGGCACCTCAGTGGGAAGTCTGTGGGAAGGGAAAAGTGTGGCAGAAAACGCTGCACAACGAGAAGAGGTGACCGGACCCTGAGGAGGATTGTGGAGAAGGGCCGATTCCAGACCTTGGGGGACCTGCGGAAGCAGTGGACTGAGTCTGGAGTAGAAACATCCAGAGCCACCGTGCACAGGCGTGTGCAGGAAATGGGCTACAGGTGCCGCATTCCCCAGGTCAAGCCACTTTTGAACAAGAGACTGTGTCAGAAGCATCTCGCCTGGGACTGCTGCTGAGTGGTCCAAAGTTATGTTCTCTGATTACAGTAAATTTTGCATTTCCTTTGGAAATCAAGGTCCCAGAGTCTGGAGGAAGAGAGGAGACACAGAATTCACATTGCTTGAGGTCCAGTGTCAAGTTTCCACAGTCACTGGGGTGTCATGTCATCTGCTGGTGTTGGTCCACTGTGTTTTATCAAGAGCAGGGTCAATGCAGCTATCAGGAGATTTTGGAGCACTTCATGCTTCCATCTGCTGAAAAGCTTTATGGAGATGAAGATTTCATTTTTCAGCACGACCTGGCACCTGCTCACAGTGCCAAAACCACTGGTAAATGGTTTACTGACCATGGTATTACTGTGCTCAATTGGCCTGCCAACTCTCCTGACCTGAACCCCATAGAGAACCTGTGGGATATTGTGAAGAGAAAGTTGAGAGACACAAGACCCAACACTCTGGATGAGCTTAAGGCCGCTATCGAAGCATCCTGGGCCTCCATGACACCTCAGCAGTGCCACAGGCGGATTGCCTCCATGCCACGCCGCATTGAAGCAGTCATTCATGCAAAAGGATTCCCGACCAAGTATTGAGTGCATAACTGAACATGATTATTTGAAGGTTGGCGTTTTTTGTAT